TGCACTGAGAAGGGTGAAAGAGCAATTCAAAGAACCTTGGGCGTGGAAAGCATTGTATTTATCGCGGGCTTGATCACCAGGACGATTTCTACACCAAAACCTCGTAGCATGATCATTTCCGCCGCTGCAGCATGACATTAAAATATAATGTTGTAATGAAAATGAATTATAAATAAAAAACTAAATTTCATTTGCTTTGGCATTTGTAATGAAAATGAATTATAAATCATAATCATCAATAGCACACATGGATATTCCACTGGAAGCATGCTAAAATGATAGTTTGAACTTTGAACACAACTTTTAAAACAAATCAAGCAAACCACTATTTCAGCAGTAAAGCCAAAATAAAAATTTTGAAAACACCAAGCATACCTTAAAATTAATAAACTATAAATTTTTAATGGATTCTAAGAATTCACATACCTGCAAAGTAAATAGCCAATAGGATGCCAAGAAAGATCCCACACGCAACTATCATGTGCCCCAGGCAGTTCAACCTGAGGATTCTCATGACTGTTGAAGTCAATGATTTAGTAAGAGAGTGATAAAAACATTTAAAGAAAAGGATAACATAAGAAATTTTGCTAAATCATAATGCAGCATATTTCCTAGTTAGTCAAACTGTAGTATGCAAATTTTGGGCAGTTTGGTTATCCTAAATGGAATTAATTCACAAATATAATTTTTCCTTATGGAGAACGAACACTTGTAGAAGATAGTTGTTCTGTACTAAGAGAACCAATTTGACTTATATCGAAATTCAATTTAGCATCTAACTTCTAAATTTTCCCAAAAATAGGACTTTGAAGATTTTGAAGACTCATTTGGCACATTGGATGGGTCAACGTTACAAAGTATGTAAATTTTATAATTTGAGATGTGATAAGATGCTTGATTTCAAAGTACTATGACAGAAAATAAGAAATTTCATATTTAAAATACTATGCATGTATTTACTTTAAGCAAGTTTTAAAAATGTGAAACGGAAACGGGAAACTGGAAAGTTTTGCCCTGGTGAGGTGACGCTTAAGCCTCACAATAGAAAAAGATCATTAAATTAAAATAATTCATAAATAAAACATAGATCACTAATATATTGATTTAATTTATTATCACTAAAAGTTTAAAACAAATATATGGCAAGCATTCACTCAAAAATAAATCCACTGTGAGAACAAAAAATCACGATGACCTAATTCGCATTTTCATCAGTATTATAAGAATCTTCATAAATAATAACTTCATTATCATTTGAATTTTTATCTTATTGGTTTTACAAATTTCTTTGATACTATACTTTTCTTCTTACTGATTATATCGACTAAATTAGATCAAATATAATTAAAAAGAAAATAAACTAATATAATTATGTAATCAAACATAAACTTTTTTTATAATTTGAGATATTTTATCAGATATATTACGAATAATATAAGAGATACAATAATCATATAATATAATATAATATAATATAATAATATTTTGCATGATCTGATAGAGGCATTGCTTTAAGCGATTCAAGGCATAAAGCCTCGAGACGTACAACATTGACAAAAAAAAACCATAAGCCTCGTTAGTGATAGTGAAACTTAAGTCTCAAGGCATTTTTTGTGCGCCTCAATTCCAAGCTGCCTGAGATCTGCCTCAAAGACCTTCCTAAACAAGGAGTTTAAAAGCCATTATCAGCATCAAATTTTGCAAGAATTAATTTGCTATTTAACTTGAGTTAATAGATTAGTAACAGTAATCTTTCTATCAATTAACTGATTCTTGTTTCATATGCGAATTAGATAATTTACAACTCGTTACTAAAAAAATTAATAAATAATTACATACATTTCACATGGAAACTTTAAATGCTTTATTCGGCTTGTTATCAGAACAACCTAGAGCTTTAAATGCATCCATCATTGAATCCTTTCACCATGCAATCCTTACCCACACATTATTTATTTAATAAAAAGAAGACATGAAAAAAAAAATGAGACAATCTACTTGTCTTAGGGCCTTTTTGGGGCAGCTTATAAGTGCGGCGGCGTGTTCGAAACCACCGCCTATCCTTTTCGAAAACACCGCCTATCCGTTTGTTTCGCACGTTTTATAGATTATATAAAAACTGCATTTTATATTTTCTCTTACACGTGAATCACAGGGTTATACCCGCGATTCGCGTTTGCCTGGAGCTTATTTCACTTCTTTTACGCCTCTACCCCTCTCGCTCACGACCTCGCCTGCGGCTCTCCGTCGCCCGCCGGCCCTTCGTCGCTCTCCGTCGCCAAAAGCCAGTCGAAGCCCGCGGCCCTTCGTCGCTCTTCGTCGTCGAAAGCCAGTCGAAGCCCGTATCCCTTCGTCGCTCTCCAACCATTCGTCGCTCTCCGTCGCTCTCCGTCGCCGAATATCCGGCCCTTCGTCGCTCTCTGTCGCCGAAATCAAGTCAAGCCCGCGACCCCCTCCTAGTCGCTCTCCTCCACCAAATCCAGGCCCTCCGTCCTCTGCTTTGATGATGGATCAGTCTTTTAGCTTCGTCCTCCACCTAATTTTCGTTCAGCGGTAGTTTGGCATTTGGCTTTCGGCTACTGCTCAAGATGGAAGTGGACGTAACTTCAACCCGGAAGATTTGAGCAGCAGGGAGAAGTATCGCCTTTACATGTGGAGTTTTGGTAAGCTTTCTATTGCTCCACTCAAGAAACACTAACAATATCTAAATTGAGCGCATATGTGACTTCTGGCCAGTAAATTCCAATTTTGTGAGAAACGATTATTTGTATATTTGTAGGCCCAGGAATGCTACAGTATATAGTGGTTAATTTTACGAGTAGTTCGGTTCTCTCACTCATAGAGGAATATGACTTGTAGAAACCTGCTTCTGTGAAATATTGACAAATTAATAACCAATATTCCTTTGTTGAAAACACATAAATTATTTAGTTCAGGGGCAGAATGGTCATTTATCCACAAACAGCTACAAATCAGTTGTTTTCAAATAGCTGCCCCAAACAACTAGCCAGCTTATCAAGATAAACTACTTATCTGGATAAATTGCAACTGCCCCAAATACAGGATAAGATACTTATCAGCAGAAGCTGGATAAGTTGCAGCTGCTCCAAACAGACCCTTAGCAACAGGTTCAAGCAAGATGCTTTCTGGCAAATCACATGCATAAAAAATTCATGAATGTGAGCTCTCTCTACGCATTGCAGTCAAATTTATAGCCCCGTCTACTCCACAATCTTTCAAGTCCAAACCACTTCTTTCTCATTTGTTCGCCAATATTTTTCCTCACCAAATGAACACTCACGTAGCCTAACCCCAAATGTAACGAGAAACACTTGCAAACCCACATCATTTGGCTATCTTCCCCTAATCAAAAGAACTTCAACCCTCTATTAAAATCAACAAGAATTCATATGAAAGGGGTAGTCACTATGAGTAAACAATGAAATGATGGTGTGAGGGCAGGGTAACAACTATTAGTGATGAGCGACTTAAGTATAGCCTTCCCTACATTGCCTCTCTTTCTCAATCCTTCATGTTACAAATCGTGCCGCACCTTGATAATCACATTTGTTCGTGTAGGAAAGTATCAATCAACAAATCTAATTAGGAAGATATTTATTTTCATTCCTCATAATATATTTCACTTATAGTGATTTTGTTTCTGTTTTTTTTTTCCTATATTTCTATTGTTTTCCTATTGACAAGGATTCATATTTTGACTCATTTCACTATAATTCACATGAGAAAAGGTATAATGGATTTGAACGAGTTAGAAAAAAAATTATATTCAGAATCCTACATGATATCAAAGCCATACAATACTCTTTCATTTTCATTCTCACTCGCAGTCACAGTCGCTGCTCATGATATCAAATGTCGAAGAGTGCCGAGGCTTATCTGTGTTTCCAACGACAACTTCATCCAATGAGTCGTAAAATGACGAAGTTTCTAAGGTCGACAACCTGACTTGAACTCGTACGTACCGTCAACAATGACAAATTCATAGGATTCTACGAAGTTGTTTTCAACACCAACCCTAACCTTAATCTTCGCTTCTCTCATATGCATATCTTGTTGTGCCAAGATTTATAGATATGTCAGTTGATGTGGTATATATATAAATCAAAAAGGAAAACGATCGACGAAGCAAAACGAAGCAAAAAAATATAACAAGTGAAATCACATCATAAAAGAACAGTAACACCACAGCGGATGACACAGATTTACTTGGTTCGGCAAATTGTCTACGTTCACGGAGTTGCAGGGGATTTTACTACTTGAGAAATATACACCAGTCGATCACCTCGACTTACAAAAGGAATCTCTCACTCTCACTTCGTTGCTCTCTCTTCTTCTCTTTTTATTCTTCTCTCTCTACACCGAGATACACCGAGATACACCGAAGAAGATAAATTTACAAGAGAAATAAACTCAATTTCTCTTCAGCCACAAGAAGAAGCTAAGGGAGAACAATATTCTTCTTCTTTTTCCTCCTTCCTTCTGCCACAAGGAACTACCGCTTGAACTTCTCTTCCTCTGCCCTGAGGAAATCTTCCTTTATCTCGAGGAAACCGAAGAAGAACTCAAACCGTGACTTCTCATACAAACCGAAGGAGAGTCGTGTGAACCTTTTTATCGCGAACAGGAAGAGAGGAGCGTCGATTCGCGAACGTGAGCGGGAGTTGGCGGGAGCGATTCGCGAAATTTCGCGATTGGAAGGCAGCGGAAGTGGCGCGATCTTTCGCGATCGGGAACAGGGAGCTTTGGCGCCGATTTGCGAAACGGAAGGCGGGATCGGGACTTATTGGGCTCCAGGTAACAAATCTCCCACTTGGAGATCGATACACATGCTACATCTCCTTCCTCGACCTGATCTCCTCCACTAACGATGTCGCACTTTTCTTCAAACATGAATCCTCCAACTTGAATCGTCCACCTCTTCAACTCAAAGTCTTGTCTTCACACTAGAAGACCAACTGAATATGTGCACAACTTCAATTTCTCAAGAGTAACACCCTCAGTCAACATATCAACAGGGTCCAAATAGCATTGCACCTCCAAATTATTTCCTGGATTACTCGTCTCTGCTTACAACTCTCACTGCATGGGCAATGTCATGCCTCTGTTGAAAGTCTTTCAACAAGTTTAGCATTGTACCTCTTACTGACATCATGCTCAGTTTTCACCTAGTACACTCACTTGTATTGTAATGTCTTCTTCCCTTGTGGATGTTCTGTCAGCTCCCACTTGCTTAAGCTTTCATCTTGCAAGATTTCTTCATGACTTTGTGGTTCTTCAACATCTGTCTGTGAAACAATAGGAATTGGTGCACCGGGCCCACTTTCCTCTTCACTTTTATCATCAACAAAACTATGAACTGTCAACAATAATGCATCATGTACTTCTTCAGATACCATATTTGCGTTATCATTCTCTATCTTCTTGGGATTCTTGCAGTTCCTCCTTATGTGGCCAGTCTTGCCACAATTCCAACAGGTTATCTGCTGATCGGAGTT